CAAAAAGTAGTGAATAAATGTCTATATCAAGTAACAATAAATATATTTGGGCAGTGGAATACAAAGTAAGACAAAATCTCCACTGTGGAAAGATCTGTAGTCTCTTACATGAAATTATCATTGTATTGCTCTACCCTAAAGTAATTAAAATAATTACTTACTTTATTTTGATTCTCAGACCCAGTGTTGTTTGTGATTTCAGTATATTCTACCTGATGTGTCAAACCTGTAAACAAAGTTAATCAGTTTTGATTAGTTAAATAGTATTTTAGCCCACAGCATTATATGGCATATTTAAAGCAATGGTACTCACACATGAATGCCTGAAGGGCTTCTTCAATGGTGGGAGGATCTTTAAGTGATGTACTCAGCATCCGGGAAATCATATTTGTTTGGCTGCTCCATTTTTCATCACATAGAAGAGTGAATTTTCCCATTCTGACATTTTCAAATATCTGAAAGGGTTTCTCAAAGTATGGTGTTGTGGTTTGAAAGGGATGTTGGCCGTCTGTCAGGATGTAATGCAACAAGCATCCCGCAACCTAAAATAACAGATTACATTAAAACGATGTTCTTTAGCAGTCACAATAATAACCTTTCTTTAATAAACTGTTGAAAATTTACTTGCCAAACAAAGCATAGTGAAAAATAATAAGCAAAAAACAATCATGATTTGCAGTTTTATTAGTATTTCAAGGTCAACATACCTGGACTTCTGACTCCTTCTTGTATTTGTGTTCTGTAGCATACTCATAACTTATCCAGGATATAGTTACAGCCATGTTGGAAAACGTGGTGCTTTGTGCTGGATCCAGTTTGCTTGCCCCAAAGTCTCCAATATACATCTTATTGTTTATGTCTGTAGACAAATAAAATATAATTTGTCATAAAATTATCACAACATAATGTTATCAAAGTGTGCACTTTTGTTTTACACACACCCACCCACCCCCCCTCCCCCACACACACACACATATATATATATATATATATATATATATATATATATATATATACTGGATACTGGATAGCTCAATACATAAGGCATCAGTATATCACCGAGAGGGCAGGGTTCGAATCCAGTCTGGGTCCTTAGGCAAGACCCTTCAAGCTACTGCCTACCTCATACCATGAGAGATACTAAGTTGCATAACATGCCGGCTCAGACGTCGCCCGGCCAAACAAGGTCTGCGTCAGGTGTTGGGGAACCAGAGCACCTTGATGACAAATGGGCTACTGGAACAAGACGGAAATGGGCGAGAGATGAAAATGTGGATCTGTTGGAATGCTTCTACTCAAGTAACCCTAGTCAGAGGGGTTACATGCAAAGACTGGGGAAGGAATGGTTACTTCGACATCCCCAGTCAACACTAAGCGCTAAACTAAACTAGTAGCTCAATGTTCCAACATCCGCAAACGGCAACTGCTATCACAACTTGAGATTGACGAGATACAACACAAATGCTACGGCAAAAGGGAGGAACCCGGATGTCAGGACTGTGGGGACTTAACTACAAGTCCCCACCCAGTGAGGGGATACACGGCCCCAATGAGCGAAACAGAGCTGAACGAGACAGCTGCTGACCTGAGAGAGAGAATCATGACCCGAATGACAACCAGGCCTCCCCGGCGCCAATTACAACGGCTGAGTGAAGTACCATCAGAAAGTCTCATTGAGAATGTGAATGCAGCATTGAGAACGATCCCTACCAACACCATAACAGAAACCAATGAGCTGATCTACAACTCAGCATCAGTGATCCTTGAGATACTTGGCTATAAGAGCAACCATGAGACCCAATACCCACCATGGAAAAGACGGTTAGAGGCTAAAATCAAGGTAACAAGGAGGGAAGTGAGCCAACTGTCAGAGCTAAAGAGAGTAAAGAGCTAAAGACCAGTACCCAGAAAGTACAGCCAGATGCCCATACCTGAAGCACTCGAGACTGCCAAACAGAGGCTCCAAGCCTTGGCCAGCCGCCTAAAGAGATACACAAGGGAGAATGAATCCAGAAGGATTAACCGCCTCTTCTCCACTCAACCAGCTAAGGTGTACTCTCAATGGCAGGGTAAAACAACAGAGCAGACCCACCAAGGCTGGAGACTGAACAATACTGGAAAGGCATATGGGAAAGGGAGGCGTCCCACAACAGCAATGCACAGTGGCTGATCTCTCTACGAGAGGACCACAGCAACCTCCCTGAGCAAGCCCCGGTAACCATCACTGTGACAGATGTTCAAGAAAGAGTCTCAGGTATGAAAAACTGGACAGCACCAGGGCCTGACATGATCCATGCCTACTGGCTAAAGAAACTCACTGCTCTCCATGAGCGACTGGCAGCCCAAATGAACCAGCTGCTACAAAGTGGGACTCACCCTGAATGGTTAACTGAAGGGCGGACAATCCTAATCCAGAAGGATCCATCAAAGGGTCCAGTCCCACCCAACTACCGACCAATAACCTGCCTCTCCACAACCTGGAAGCTCATGTCAGGCATCATAGCGGCCAAGATAAGCAAACACATGGATAAACACATGAGCACGGCACAGAAGGGTATCGGTGTAAATACCAGAGGAGCCAAACACCAACTCCTCGTAGACCCGCACAGTTGCCCGAGACTGCAAAACCCGACACACCAACCTGTGCATGGCTTGGATCGATTACAAGAAAGCCTATGACTCAATGCCGCATACTTGGATCATTGAATGCCTAGAGATGTATAACATCAACAGGATTCTGAGAGCCTTCATTGCAAACTCGATGAGGCTGTGGAAAACCACCCTTGAAGCCAACTGCAAACCACTTGCACAAGTGTCCATCAAATGTGGCATATACCAAGGAGATGCCCTGTCCCCGCTACTGTTCTGCATAGGCCTGAACCCCCTCAGCCAAATTATCAACAAGACTGGCTATGGATACCGACTCAAAAATGGGGCCAACATCAGTCACCTCCTCTACATGGATGACATCAAGCTGTATGCCAAGAGTGAGCGAGACATCGACTCACTGATCCACACCACCAGGATCTACAGCACTGACATTGGAATGTCATTCGGACTAGAGAAATGTGGTCGGCTGATCACAAAGAGGGGGAAGGTGATCCACACAGAAGGAGTCTCACTCCCACAAGGAACAATAGCAGACATAGAGGACAGTTACAAGTACCTAGGTATACCACAAGCAAATGGCAACCTCGATGAGGCCACAAGGAAAGGAGCCACAGCTAAATACCTCCAACGAATAAGGCAAGTCCTGAGAAGCCAGCTCAATGGCAAGAACAAAATCCGTGCGATAAACAGCTATGCCCTGCCAGTAATCAGATACCCTGCTGGAATAATCAGCTGGCCAAAGGAGGAGATGAAAGCCACAGATATTAAGACTAGAAAGCTACTAACCATGCATGGAGGGTTCCATCCCAAATCCAGCACCCTGAGACTGTACACGAGCCGCAAGGACGGAGGCAGAGGACTAGTGAGTGTGAGAACCACTGTCCAGGACGAAACAACTAAGATCCATAAATACATCAGGGACAAAGCCTCAACAGACAATGTGCTCAGTGAATGTCTCAGACAACAGGGAACGGAGGTTGAGGTGCCAGAGATACCATCATGGGAGGACAAGCCCCTACATGGGATGTACCACCAGCAAATAACCCAAGTGGCTGATATCAGTAAATCCTACCAATGGCTGGAAAAAGCTGGACTCAAGGACAGCACAGAGGCCCTCATCCTGGCCGCCCAGGAACAGGCCCTAAACACCAGAGCAATAGAGGCCCAGATCTACCACACCAGACAAGACCCAAGGTGTAGGTTGTGCAAGGAGGCCCCTGAGACAGTCCAGCACATCACAGCAGGGTGCAAGATACTGGCAGGGAAAGCGTACATGGAGCGACATAACCAAGTGGCAGGCATAGTGTACAGAAACATCTGTGCAGAATATGGACTGGAAACCCCGAGATCAAAGTGGGAAACACCCCCAAAGGTGGTGGAGAACGCCAGAGCTAAGATCCTGTGGGACTTCCAGATCCAGACAGACAAAATGGTAATGGCGAACCAACCAGACATTGTCGTAGTGGATAAACATCAGAGGAAAGCCGTTGTGGTAGATGTAGCAATACCAAGTGATTGCAACATCAGGAAAAAGGAGCACGAGAAACTGGAGAAATACCAGGGCCTCAGGGAAGAACTGGAGAGGGCCTGGAAGGTGAAGACCACAGTGGTGCCTGTGGTCATCGGGGCCCTCGGGGCAGTAACCCCCAAACTGGAGCAGTGGCTACAACAGATCCCAGGAACAACATCAGACATCTCAGTCCAGAAATGTGCAGTCCTTGGCACAGCCAAGATACTGCGCAGAACCCTCAAGCTCCCAGGCCTCTGGTAGAGGACCCGAGCTCAGAGGATAAGAACCACCCGTGGTGGGTGAGAAGGGAATTTTTTTTATATATATATATATATATAGCTTTCTATGTGTTTCAATATGTGTGTAAATTAAAACAATAATAATAATAATGATAATACAGACCTTTGGGCATTTAAATAACTTAAAAACGACATAATATGTAGGAGAAAACATAAAATACACAGTACAGTACAATTTGCCCATTCACCCAAACTCACCAAACAGGATGTTTTCAGGCTTCAGAACCATGTGCAAAATTCCATGCGAGTTGAGTTCCTGAAGTCCAAGCAATAACATCTTGCAGATTTTCAATCTCCACTGGTCAGTCAGGTTTTGTCGCTCCGGAAAATCCTTATTCTCGATCAAGTCCTTGAGATTATACTCACAAAGAGGGGAGAGAAAATAGACAAAGTCTGAGTCTTCCAACACAGCAAGGGGCTGCAACAAATGTTTCATCTGTAATTTTTCTGAACATAAAAAGTTTGCAATTTTCAATTCGTTTTTGGCAACATGTTTGACAACTCTCTTCACTGCGACAGCACGGTCAGACAAGAGTCCTAAAAAGACTTCTGCTCCATTGCATCCATTTGCAATCTTAGTGTTCAGATTGTAGACAAGGTCATCAATTTTTTTCACGTCAGGCTCAGTCTGCAGATTTTCCAGAGAGCTCTTCCACCGGGATTCCTTTAATGTTGAGCAAAAAAAAATCTCAATTAGTTGATAGAAAACCAATTAAATACATAGAACAAGCATGTAATATACTAGAAAATGTATAGAATTTCTCCAGTGAATGTAGATGAAGAATGAAACTGCCACACATCTTTACCTTCTTTTCCATCTGCTCTTTCCCAGATGATGAAGCGGGCTTCTAAAACAAATTACAATTACAGCATTAAATGAATTATGCAGGATTAAAACAATGGTTTGTTTAACCATGGACAGTATTTTGAAATTTTACTTTGAATTTTGAGTTTTCAGATGTTTAAAGGAATTTGTGAAGGTTTATATAGCACAAAAATCAAATATGAAGATATAATCGCTAAGATTTATGTTATTTTGGAAAACATGCTTTGAAGAAAATATAAATATACGTAAATAAAAGTTTCATACCTGTCGCCATTCACAGTTAGGATCACCATAATCAAAGACCATTTCTTCCCCTGCATGTATTTTTGTGATAGCAAATGGACAGAGATGCTTTTTTTTTTTTGCTCATCCAACACCTGTTGATCACAAAGGCACAAACACAAATTAGTTTCAGTTAGTTTTTTTTTTAATGAAACAGATAAATTAACAAAGAGTGACTTCTGACTATGATACTTACAATTTTAATTTTGCTGTTTGGTTTGACATGGTCATCATTCATGAATCTTCCAAGTCTTGCTGTATCTTTACTGCCGTCAATGCTACAAAAAAAATGAATAAATAGACAAAATTACACTTTTTCCTGGACTTAGACTCATAGTTTGGAGGTTTATTTGTACTTACCAGTGGGTTTGTCCTTGGATTTTGTAAAAATACAAAAATGCTGCATCCACTTCTGAATACTGTTCAAACAGTTTCTCTCCCTCAGAGCCAGTGATGTGTCTTCCAACATATTCCAGCAAGAATTCTCCTGGCTCGATGTTTCTGGTAGCAAAAACCTCACCGCGCCCCATCCTCATCCTCCACCACCTCCACTGAGTTCTGATGGGTCGGTTCAGATCCTCTCTGGAGATCAGACACCAGAACAGAGGCGGATCAGAACCAAAGCCAGCAGCTCTGCTGAAGCTCAGGAGAACTCTGAGTTCAGATGTGGACCCTGGTCTCCTCCAGAACCTCCTCTGTTCTGCTGTGGAGGAACTGTGTGGCTCCAGTTCTGCAGCAGGACCTTCTCAGCTGCAGCAGCAGAAGAAAGGACTTCCTGTGTTCAGGTTGGATAGAAACCTGGATATTTTCTAGCTTGTGGTTCTGCTTCTAGCGTAGATGTTCTCCAGGGTTCTGATCTGGATCTAGTGGACTGTAGAGCTCATCAGGTTTCCTCTCATCCACTTTGAGATCTTCAGCCTCCTTTAGATTCAACCTGAAGCTTCTTCTGACAGATTAGCTGCAGCTGATATTTAGCATGATGTTTATTATTCTAGCCTCAGTTTTCTGTTCTTCATGTGACTCCACTGAATCCAACTCTGATGTCGTCCACTTCACAAGTGATGAAGATCCATTTTTCTTTCACTTCCTGCTGATTTCTTTCCAAAGCTCCATTTTGTCCAGGAGGATCTTCAATGTTCTCTTTATATGATGAAGGAACTCAGACTGACTCCACCCAGCTGGTGCTCCAGGTTAGCAGAAACAAACAAACCCTAAAGTCATTCATAATGAAACCTTAGAACTGGTTCTGGTTCTGATGACTTTTGACCGTCTCTGACATGCAGCTCTGGAAGAAATGAAGAGGCCACTGCACTGAAGCTCATTGAAAACCTCCTGGTTATTCAGCAAATATTGATTTCTGATCTCTTCCTGACTTCATATATTAGTATTGTTGTTTCTAAATCAACTTCTTTTCTTTGCATTATTTGAGGTCTGAAGATCTTTTTCCTTATTTTCACCATTTCTCATTTTCTGCTAATAAATTAAAATGAAATGTTGTCAGTAGTTCTTAAAATAAAAGAACAAAGTTCATTTTACTCAAAGAGTTCAGTTGGTTCCAAGTTAAAAAGGTTCTGGTTCCATTGGTGTTGAACAGAACCTGGATCAGCAGAATAACAGCAGATCCAGTTTTATGGGAAGTGATCCTGTCTTCAGGCGTCAACAGAATAACTTTCCTCTGACTCCCAGTCAGTGAGACCAGTCCTGACTTGTTTCTCCTCTTAAGACTTTCAGTTTAAACTAACCAGTTTATTTGTGGCACCAGTCTGGATCTACTGTGGTTCTGTTGGGTCTCAGATTGTTGTTCAGATTTTCTTCATCAACTCTTTGGATCATTTGAACAAACTGTAAGTTTGATTTGTTTTCTACTTGAACTTTGACATCAGGATATTCCTGCTTGTTTCTGCTCTGATGTTTTGACAAAATGTTCACTTCTGATTTCAGCTAAAAAACTAAAATCTCTGCTGTTTGAAGGCTCGTCTACAGGATTATTAGATTATTTATGAACTGGAATCGATCAACATGATGAAGAGCTGATGTTTCACTGTTTTCCACTCTGAACTGATTCATCATTTTATTTTCAGGAATCAAACTCCAGACTCAACCATCGATGTCAAACACAAGAGTTTATTGCTGCTTTGTTTCAAAATGACATAATATTTGGCACCAGTCTGGTTCTGTTGGGTCTCAGTTTGTTGATCACATATTCTTGTTCAACTCTTTGGATCATTTGAACAAACTGTAAGTTTGTTTTGTTTTCTACTCAAACATTGTCTTCAAGAATATTAATATCTGTTTATTATTTTTCTCTCAGAAGTTTGGAGAAAATGTTAACATCTAATTTCAGATCAACCTTTAATCTCTGCTGTTTGAAGGTTAATCTACAGGATTATTGATGAACTAGAATCAAATGAGATAAACGTGATGTTTTTTTCTTCTCTGAACAAATTGATTCATGGTTTTTCTTTCCTTGTATCAAATTCTGGTGTATATGTCTGACACCATTAAAGTCAGACACAACAAGTTTATCCTGCTTCCTTTCAGAATTAAATGCTGTTACAGTAAAATGTGTTCAATTTAGTCAAATTACTACATAGTTCATCTTTAGTGGCACATTTAATCCACTTGTAGAGTTTAAAAATTAACTAACTAAAATATTTCCTGTTCAGGTTGAATCAGTGAATGTAAATGTTGCTCCATGTCTCCATCTAGTGGACTGATAGTAGAAGTGCAGCAGCTGATGGCAGCTTCCTCTGCCTCTCCGCTGTCTGACTGCATTCACCTGACACTGATATGAAGCAGAGAAGAAGAGCCAATCAGAGGAGGAGCAGCTGATCTTTTTCCAGCACTAATGATGTAAAGGATGATCAGAGTTGATGTGCAGATGAATGATGTGTGTTTCCTCTGCAGGTGAAGCTAGAAAGTGTGTGTGAGCTGATGTGGATTCAGCAGCATGGATCAGTGTGAGGACAGAGAGGAGGGAGTCCCTCCCTCTAAAACCACTCTGTGTGGGGAAGATGAGAGCCAGAGCAAAGGTCAGAGGTGAGGTCACCATCTCTAACTGTCCACAGCCCTTTTCACACAGCGTTCACTATATCAGGCCAGAACAGACGTGGTGATGAAGCTGCTGCTGCTCCTCTTTGCTGATTAAGTTTTAATCATCATGTTTCTGTCAGGATCCATCAGAAACGCAAACCAGAACCAGAACCAGAACCCAGCTGTGTGTCTTTTAAGAGCAACAGGTCAAAGGGTCAGATCATTGGCTTTAAATCTCCTGGATCTCCATCATCAGAGAGGTGAGCTGTATCTAATTGCAGTAACTCTGAAAACTGAACCAGTAAGAACTCAGATGTTTCCAGTTATATTTCCAGAGGTTTGATCCATTATCTACAGAAATCAGCTGCTCTGTTCTCATGAAAACACCTTCATATCTTTATCTCTGGATGTTGATGATGATGTTCTGTTGCTTCCTGGCTCCATGTCAGACTAACAGTGGATCACATTTCCACTGGGATATACCTGGTAAAGCCATTCTGGTCCATCAGGACTTGGTTCCTGTGTGCATTGTGAGAGCAGTTCAGCAGGGAAGGAAAGCTTCATGATGTGGTTGGTGAGATCTGCTGGAACTCAACCAAACTGAGCTGATGTGGACCATCAGAGGTTCTGCTGGTTCTTAATGGGATCAGCAGGAACATTAAATCTTTACAACTACTTAGATCACCTGGTTCACTGCTCACATCCAGATATCACTTCATGGACCTTTACCTTCTGATTGTCTCTGCGAGGACAGATACAATGTGAGCTCACTGGCTTGCAGGGATCTACAGGATCCATTTTAAAATCCTCTATAACATCCAGGAGAGGATCCCACATGGACACACCCACATATTTCAGACCTCCTCCATGTCCACATCACCTCAGATCTAGTCATCAGAACCTGATTGATGTCCCACACTGTCCTGAAGACCAGTGTGGACAGAGCCTTCACTTCCACTGTCCCCCAAGCTCTGGGAAACTGTCTCCACCAGCATTAGATCTGCTGACAGTTTGGACTGTTTGAAGTCCAAGTTCAAAATCAAATTTTTAAAATGGTTACTGGATTATTCTGGTGTTACTGGTTGTAATGAAGACTGAAAACTGAAGTTGGTTTAGTTATGGGTTTGCAATCAATCCATGGTGTCTAGTTAGGACCGCTGATATATAAGTTCAGGTGAGTGAGTTAATGTTAAACAGCTAACTTTAGCTCACAAAAATAAGAGTAGACCACAACAAATGATCATAATATTCAACAGGACAAAGTGCAAATACAGCTCTTAGAAATTAAGGAAACTGAACTAAACCACCAAAAGTATTACTTTGATTCAATGGACGGACACATTAGAAAGAGGTAATAAACAAAGTTTATTAAGAGCCGCCACTCAATGTTCAGATCTTTAAGCAAGATGTAGCAAAAATGAACAAGAAGCCACCCAGTGGCTGAAATGAAATACTACATCGAAAACACAAAAGAAAAAACTCAACTAGAGGGCTGAAAATAAACAGTTAACAGTCTTTTGTACACTGATATTCATCAATGTAGATCAAGTTCATCTTTCTAACTTTGAAGTGTATTCATGTGATGCTCTGTTTTTCTATATTAAGGACTTTTAATGTGAAATTCCTGATGATTTCCTCTGTGAAAACTGCTGGATGAATATTTCCTGACTTCGTAATTGTTCCTGGTTCCTCCACAGAGTGGACCAGCAGAGCTCAGAGGTTCCCAGGGGTCCAACTGTCCAGCAGCATCAAACACAGCTGGACTCCCTATTTATGGTCTGTATATGAACAACTACTACTTTTCCACAAGTTCTGTTCAAAGTCTCCTTCATGCTGCACTTTGTAGACCAGAGGACTGTCAGTCTGTCCAACATCCATCTGGTGTTTGGCTCCATGATTTCACTCTGATGTTTCCTTCATCTATTATTTTGTTCCAGCTGCTGGAGGACAACATTGTCACTTATGTGAAGAACGAGCTGAAGAAAATCCAGAAAGTTCTGAGTCCAGATTACCCAGAACATTCAGAGAGTCAGAGAGATGATGAGGTGTTGGAAGGTGATGATGAAGAGCAGAGGAGGAGCAGCAGAGAGGCAGTGATGAAGATCACACTGAACTTCCTGAGGAAGATGAAGCAGGAAAGGTTGGCTGACCATTTGCAGATCAGTAAGAGGATTTCTAAAGAGATTTGAATTAATAGATAAATAACACATTTGCTGAAATCAAATTCACAAGATGTTTTTCTTTCATATCTGATTTTCATTATTCTTTAGGACATTTTGCTGCAGTTTGTCAACATCACCTTAAATCTGGTCTGAAGAAGAAGTTCCAGTCTGTGTTTGAGGGGATTGCTAAAGCAGGAAGTCCAACCCTTCTGAACCAGATCTACACAGAGCTCT